CAATTTTTATTGAATTTATTATGCCGAAAAAATTACCGGCCGAAAAATTTTTCGGTTAATTTTTTTATAGGTGTCCCGGGAATAATGAAAACAGCTGTAAGCCAATATTTCTCAACTAATTTCAGCGAATTTTTTTTATTTTAATTCTATAAGTTAATAGAATTAAAATAAAAAAAAAATTATTGAATTTAGTTAGATAGTCGTTGAGAAAACTTCGCTTAAAGTTGAAAAAAGGTTAAAAATCTTTCAGTTTCTTTTTTATAGGCACTAAAACTTTAAGCGAAGGTTTCTCGATGCATATCTAACCAAATTCTATGAATTTTTTATTTATTTTAATTCTGTAGTCTTGTATAATTAAAATAAAAAAAAACTCATAGAATTTGGTTGGATATTCGTCGAGAAAACTTCGCTTAAAGTTTTAGTGCCTATAAAAAAGAAGCTGCGGCAAATTATTTTTTAAACAATAAATAAATATTTCTCAGTAACTACATAACCAAGTTCGAAAAACTTGTTTTATTTTGATTCTACAAGCATGTAGAATTAAAATGAAAAAATTTTCATCAATTTTGGTTAGATATTCGTCAAGAAATCTTCGTTAAAGTTGAAAAAAAGAAATTTTACTACGGCTGATTTTTTCAAAGATTTTTAACCTTTTTTTCAACTCTAAGCGAAGTTTTCTCAACTACTATCTAACTAAATTCGATAATTTTTTTTATTTTAATTCTATTAACTTGTGGAATTAAAGTAAAAAAAAAATTCGCTGAAATTAATTAAGTATTCATCGAGAAATATTGCTTAAAGTTCTTAAAAAAAACTCTTGTATAGTATACTGGTATATAGAACAGTATTGCACGAATTTACATGAACCGTTACACGAATATGCGTGAATATCAATGTACGTACATGATTGTTTATCACCTGTAGTGATGCAAACGGCTAGCTTCGGCTCAGCTACGGCTTGATATCATGTGAGCTGAGCTGCTTTTTAGCCGAGCTGCTTTTAGCCGAGCCATTCTTTAGCCGAGCTAACAAGAGCCGCAGCTCCAATTTGATTACCGTTATCGTTATAAAAAAATAATAAAAGAGCACGTTTATAGTTCTTTTGATCAAATCAAAGAAAAAGATTACTCCAACAACACATGCAAGCTTCTTCGTAAGCTTGCCAATTACCTCCCCGATGGTGTATTGCATAAACGTCGATAACCAAAGGAACCAAATTTCCTAAAAGATCCGTCAAATAGAGAAACTCTATATTTTTACACGTATTACTGAATTTCGAATTAACAACATTGGCTATTTCTGACCATGCTTCACATATGATATTAAGAATCAAATCGATTTTTCATAGTCGTGGCTTTTTACCGAGGTCCTTATGTATACCGAAAATACCTTTATAAAGTTCATTAAAAAAAAAAGAATTTTGGAGAAAAACTAGTTTACAGGAATTTAATGATACATGGAGAGGACCCATAATTGGTAAAAATGTAGTAACAAATAAAGGAATAGATGTGTTATTGGAAAGAATATGTTGCGCAATAGCTTTGCGAATATAAAACTGTCTAGGCCAGTCTGCGACAATGGGAATGGCGTGATTGAAAATATATATCAACATAGGTTCGCGATCCCATATGACTTTGAGAGCTTTTACATAATGCTCTATCTTTTTCAAATCACTTTCAACAAAGTTGACGAGAATAGCATCCTTGATATGGTGCTCATTTTTTTTACTAGCTAACCTGTCATTATAACTGTATAATGTTAGCCTGTCTATGAATTCATCGTCAGTATATTCTTTCACATAATCCCACATATAACTGCGATTAGAATAAGAAATTGCAAGGTTTGCAATAAATCGCTCCTCAAGGTGTTTTATAATCAATTTATCATCAACAATATTGAAATTAATTATTCTACTATGCAGTATCGCTGGCATATAATATAGATTTACCAAAATTGATACCATATGTGTCGGTCGAGACATTGCTGTAGTATTAGGTTGGTGCGGAACATGGATGTTGTGATAATTGTTGATATTTAGCACCAAAGCGTTTTCCAAGCATCTTATAAGAGCATTATCTACATATTTTTCATGTACATCCGATACTCTTTTCTTCTTACGTTCTACAGTTCTCGTCATTGTAAATACGTCAAGACTTGCTATCATGTTCAAGCCCTCATTAGTCATACCTGCTGAATCTAAATAATAAGCAATATTAAGCTTAAAAGCGTTAATTTTTGTGCTATTTAATGAAGCAAGTAAATAACAAATTAACACTATTAATTTCTTCATACAGTCTATCATTTGCTCATTACGTTCAAGAGGCCGAGCTGCAGAGTAAAGCTGGTTAAGAAATTCTGCTAAGATTGGGTTAGTTTCTTGAAATAATGCTCGCATTTCATCAAAAACATAAATAGGACTTTCTTGTTTTACATGCTCTTTCTCATAAAAAATTTTCGCTATCTCCTTAATAACTTTAATAAGTTCAACCTTCATACTTTCCTCTTTCGTCACATTTGCTTCGATTTTTTCACTCGCAGGTTTTACTCTAAGACCTCTTTTTAGAAGATTTTTGACCAAATTCATATAACAAGAATTACATAAAATATCTTCTTCTTTCCATGTTGCCTTCACTAAATTGTTACTTTTAGCCTCTCCCCACTTTTTTTTGTTTAACGAATGAAATCTAATCGACTCAGTGACATGGCATTTCTTGCATTCCGGCATATTTTCTTTGGGTAAAAGTTAATATAAAGGTTGTTGGATTCAAGTGGATTCAAGTGATATTAAAGTTTGGTACGAATACTTTAAAGCTTGCTTAGTATATTTCACGTTCTATTTTAAAAATAGGTTGCGCGAGATTATCAAAAAGTACAAAAAACACACAAAAAAATTTTTTTATCAACTGTGATTGGCTGATAATCATGTGACATTAAATTTGATTGGTTGGGAAGATTTCGGAAACGATCTGCATTCGTGTAACCTTGACGGTCGCTCCTGTTTGGCAACTCAGGTTTCACCCTGTCATAATACGATTAAAATCATTTTATGCGGTCCAATCAAATCATCCAATGATATAGTAACGTGGTGAAAAATGCATGTGTTAGATGTTCAGTTAACACGCGTTCGAGTCAACTAATATTTTTTATGTACAAATAATTAAATTATAAATAATCATGTACGTACATTGATATTCATGCATATTCGTGTAACGGTTCATATAAATTCGTGCAATACTGTAGTTCTATATACCAGAATACTATACAAGAGTTTTTTTAAGAACTTTAAGCAATATTTCTCGATGAATACTTAATTAATTTCAGCAAATTTTTTTAATTTTAATTATACAAGTTAATAGAATTAAAATAAATAAAAAAATTATCGAATTTAGTTAGATAGTCGTTGAGAAAACTTCGATTAAAGTTGAAAAAAAGGTTAAAAATCTTTGAAAAATCAAAGCCGTAGTAAAGTTTCTTTTTTTCAACTTTAACGAAGATTTCTCAACGAATACCTAACCAAAATTGATGAATTTTTTTTCATTTTAATTCTACATGCTTGTAGAATCAAAATAAAAAAAGTTTTTCGAACTTGGTTATGTAGTTACTGAGAAATATTTTATTTATTGTTTAAAAAATAATTTGCCGCAGCTTCTTTTTTATAGGCACTAAAACTTTAAGTGAAGTTTTCTCGATGAATATCCAACCAAACTCTATGAGTTTTTTTTTTATTTTAATTATACAAGACTACAGAATTAAAATAAAAAAAAATTCATAGAATTTGGTTAGATATGCATTGAGAAACCTTCGCTTAAAGTTTTAGTGCCTATATTCTTGATTGTTTCAAGAAATGATTCAAATAATTCCGGATTATGCCTTAATCAAAACAATATATTTAGATAGTGTTAATATGTACCGTATAAATATATATAATAAAGTAAACTCACAATTCAGTTTCAGTAGTTTGGCTTATATCCATATTGACTTCAGCATTAGCCGTTTCCAATTCATGTGTATTTTCGAATACATTATGTAAAACCTTAGGATAGTTATAATTTTTACATTGACTATAATTTGTTTGAGAATGTAATGATGCGTAGAAAGAAACTCCTAAATTATATATTTAAAATTATTTATTATAGATATTATTTATATATATAAATTAATTTATTATAGATATTATTTATATATATATATAAATTAATTTATAAAAACTATTTACATATTTAATTAATTAAAAAAATGCTTACCACGTGCAATATAAGCGAAACATGCACAATTATTAGGTGTTAGTGATGGAAGAAAATTTAAAGATCCAATATGATATTTTGCGGCCACTGCTCCCTGGTGTTTACATGGTGCTCCCGATAGCCCTACAAAACATGTACATGTACAGAATTCAGTGTTGACTATATAAAATAAGTCAGTGACTTTTTCCTGACTAGGAACTAAAAATTCTGTGGTTAACTCAGTTTGTCGAATCTCTGTAGCATTAATTGCATCCCAACCAGGGCACAAAAACCTTCTAGCAATTTGAAGATGACCGGGATGACTATGTGCTATTCCTAGCAACCGACGCTCATAGTACTGTTCCATATTTGTAATGATAAACTGAAACACCTGGACAATATTGTATGTCCTTTAATAATCCGAAGCTACGTTCGATATAGTTGTTGGTATTATTACCACGTGTAAAAAGCCCAGAACGGAAAAGCAATGCCCAAAATTGTCGTCTGCTCCAAAGTAACTCGAAATGTTTTTGTAATTGTGGATATATATGATAGTAATTAGTCTTTAACTCATTATAATATTCTATTATTTCAATTTCCATTTGAGCATATAGAATTTTTCTCATAGTTTTCATAATGTGCATTTTATGATTTTTATCTATACAATGCTTCGAATTATATAACCAACGCCAGAATGCTTGTAGAACATGAAATATACATAATAAGCATTTTGCTTGTGGCCAACAGTACTCTAATGTGTTGCGTTCACTAGCTGAATCATCTGTTAAAAAAATCATTGGTCCAATATTAGGTCCATGCCCAAAAAATGCATATTGTGGTAGAAGTGTTTTTAAAAGATTCATTCCCTTTTTAAGGGTTAATTCTAATTCATCAGATGTTACTAGAAGACCAAGAGGCAACGCCCCCGCAATACAACTTGTATAGAATAAGATAATTGACGTATTTAATGGTTCAAAGGATGCTGATGAACACGGTCCATTAAATTTGTAACTATGCAAAGGATAAAGGCTTTTCCTTCTTGAGAATTATATTCTTGAAATATTGCACGCCCCTTTCCTGAACTATTATAATTATTGACTTCATCTGTTAATCGTTGAAACATTGTAATACCGTTTTTTCCACCAAGATGTTCATTACGATACTGCTTGAATAAATTTAGAACATAACCATAATCGGGGTTTTGTGCACGGTCAGCTAATGATAACATAAGATTTTGATCATTTTCTGCATTCAAATATAGACTATCTTCATAAGCGTATAAGGCTGTTGCTGGTGAGTGTCCATTAGCAAATAAATCTATATATTTTTTGCGAACTTCTTCTTTGACATGTCTGAAACTAAGAGATTTCACGGAATAAATAACATGATTATGTGTAAATTTGAGATTAATTTCAAGTGGATAAAGTGTTTGAAGACGCCATCGTTCAAGTCAAAGATGAATAGTAGCTGTACACTTAGTATTTCTAATTCGCATTGAATTAGGCTTTTTCAATATAGGATTTCCTTGTTTTTGTCTTACGGCATCACTATGGATACAATGTCTCATTTCACGAAATATAACCTTTTTTTCCTTAAGTTGATAGCCTTTGGTTTGTGGCATTGTTGTTTTTGTAATTTCCTCAAACTCAGTAAACCATTTATATGCGCCTTCGCTTGTATTAATATTCACAAAAAAGTTAACTTCAAAATGATCAACTGAAAACCCTTCCGTTGTAATATAAGCAGGAAGTTGATGAACTTCAGAGATAAAATAATTGTAGCTTAACGGAAGTATAGCTGCAATATGTTCAGGCAATATGGTATTCGTTTCACATGATATATTTGTATTAAGTGGTGGTTCTAAAATCTCACTTAAATTCATGATACGTTGTGTATTATTTTAATGTATTACTGAAAAAGTAAAATGCATAAATTTAGAAAAATAACGTATATAGATTTTAGAAAGAAAAAGAAAACAGGTTTAAAGAGAAAAAAAGCGTATATGAATCACGTTAATGTATATATAGATATCTTGGAACAAGTATGAAAGTTTTTATTTATTTTCGCTTTAATACTCTTTAAATTAATTACATCATTTTTATGCAATATGTTTCACCTTTAAATTAATTACATCATTAATATATCATTTTATACATCATTTACTTCTCCGATCTGATTTATATCATATCACATGAGCACGAACCTAATACCATAATATAACGATAAAAAATAAGTTATATTAAAACATGATTACGTTATAAATTCATTTTTTATTCAATTTAGATATGATCGATTGATCGATTAGTAGCAGTTCAACTATTAAAAAAAAGGTTTTTATCGTAATACAATTTTTCGCGTCAAATCCATTTTTTACAGAAGGAAAAATTCCGGATCAAAATTTATCGGGGATGATCGACCATGAAAATTTAGAGGTTTTTTCGACTTTACAGCTGTTTTCATTATTCCTGGGACACCTATAAAAAAATTAGCCGAAAAATTTTTCGGCCGGTAATTTTTTCG